GATATTATAAAGTAACTAAATGTTCATCATAAATTCTCAATCTTAGTTACTTTATAAAAATGTGAAAATAATATTATTCCATGAAATTGCACTTTGCACCTTTCCAAGTCGTTAGTGGAGCGTGTGTGGTTAACCGGCACACTAACTTGGACTAACAAGGGTGGCAAAGGGTAGCTCCATGTTTATGATAGATCAATGGAGCGTGTGTGGTTAACCGACACATTGATTAGGTGATAAATGACATCGAGAGTACCAAGCACATTTGCATGGTTATTCATACATTCTTTGTGATCCTCAGTATCCCAGTCACAAACTTGAAGGGCATAATCAAGATTTAAACATGCCATTGAAAAGTTCATTGAATCTCAAAGAATCTAGGAATTTCAATTCATTTAAAACTTAATTGTCATTTTCGTTTTTCATGGTGGAAATTGGTAAATCGTCATTTACCTACCTTCAAATATTTTGCAATTAGATTACGACATCCCTCTTCCGAATTGTAGAATATTGTGTTGGGTCCTGGCCTTAATATTTCATTTGGGTGTTATATTAAGGATTCTTATCTAATCTAAACTTTGTCCTTCTTTTTCAGATGTCTACATCAAACAACGCTTCAAACTCAAACTCTTCCGGCTCTTTCTACCTCATGAACTTATGTGGGAGGGTCATTTTCGATGGGTCGATTTTCAATGACTGGATTCGAAACATTCGTATGCCCATTCGATACGAGGAAAAGGAATATGTCCTCGACAAAGAGCTAAAGAAGATTGATGAAGAAACTGCTACTCCTGAGCAATTGGCTGAGTATAGGGCTCATGAGAAGGACGCAACAAAGGTGTCGTGCATCATGCTAGCCACTATGACTTCTGAGCTTCAGAAGTCCTACGAGGACTTCTGGCCTTTCGAGATACACCGAGACTTGATGGAAAGGTACCATCAAAGTGCTTGACAAGAAAGGTATGAAATCATTGCCTCCATGATAACAACAAAAATGAAGGATGGAGAGTCCATCACGGCCCACTTGCAAAAGATGCAAAGATATGTGGATCGCTTGCTAAAGTTGAATGTCAATTTCGACGAAGAGTTAGCTATTGACATTATCCTACACTCCTTGCCACCTTGTTATGATCAGTTCAGAATAACTTATCACATGAACAAGAAAGAAGTCACTCTAAGCAAGATGCAAGGCCTTCTGAGAACTGCTGAAAGCAGTTTAAAAGGAAAGTCTATTGTACCCACTCCTACTGTTGCTGCCCCAGTCCTGGAAATTGGACATGGGAAGGGAAAGAAGATGAAAGCTCCTTCAAAGAATCACAAGGGAAAGTCTCATGATGAATCCTCTTCAAGTGGGTCCAAAGGTGGTTCTGCTACTCCCTCATCCAATCCAAAGGAAGCAGAGTGCTTCCATTGTAATAAAAAAGGGAATTGGAAACGAAGCTGCCCTAAATACTTGCAGGATATTAAGGATGTGAAGATAAAGCCCACCTTCGCAAGTATTTATACTATTCTATCTAATAACTCATCACATGCTAGTTCTTAGGTCCTTGATACAGGATGTGGTTTTCACATTTGTTCTGAATTGCAGGGTCTAAAAAGAAGTAGGGATGTAGAGCACGAGAATATGAACTTGATCATGGGGAATAGGAAAGCGTCGCTTGTCACCAAGATTGGAGTTTATTCTTTATTGCTTAGTAATGGGTTAGAGTTAGATTTGAACGATTGTTGCTACTCGTCAGAAATGGCGAGAAACATTATTTCTTTTCATGGTTTGTATAAACAAGATTTTAGATTTTCATTTAACAATGAAATCGGTTCTATTAATGCTTTTTATAATGGTAAATTTTATTTTGAAGCATTGCCTTGTAATGGTATATATGAAACTGTGATGGTTGTAGACAACTTAGGAAATAATGTATTGCATATTGATTCGTCCAATGGTTTGGACAAAGCATGCTTAAGGCATTGTCGTCTTGGACATGTCAACAAGAAGCGCATAACCCAACTCCAAAAGGATGGAGTGTTGGAGTCATTTGACTTAAAGTCGGATGACACGTGCGAATCTTGTTTGCTTGGAAAGATGACCAAGTCACCTTTCACTGGTACTTGTGAAAGAGGTGATGGTTTGTTGGATCTCATACACACCGATGTGTGTGTGCCCTTCAAATCCGCCACAAGGGATGCTAACCGCTTCTATTTAACTTTTACCGATGATTATAGCAGATATCGGTATATCTACTTCATCAACCACAAGTCAGAAACATTTGAAAAGTTCAAAGAGTTTAAGCAAGAAGTGGAGAATCAATTGGGCAAGAAGATAAAGATGCTCTGATCCGATCGATGTGGTGAGTATCTTAGTATCGAGTTCCACGACTATCTTAAGGAATGTGGAATTGTTTCACAAGTGACGCCGCCTAGGACACCGCGGCTAAATGGTGTAGCTGAGAGGCGCAATCAAACCTTGTTGTACATGGTTCATTCCATGATGAGTCGAGCTTCGTTACCTATCTTATTTTAGGGGTATGCCTTAGAGACTGCCGCCCATATCCTTAATCTAGTCCCAAATAAGAAGGTTGCCAAAACACCTCACGAGATGTGGACATGGAAGGTTCCCTCGTTGGCACATATCAAGATTTGGGGTTGCGAGGCTTTCGTAAGACGAGAGACTCACGATAAGCTCGAACCTCATAGTGAGCGATGTATTTTCATCAGCTATCCGTAGAAGTTATTTGGATATCTCTTCTATAGACCGAGTGACAATGTTGTATTCGTTGCGAGGAGAGGGGTTTTACGCGAAAGAGAACTCATATGCCAAGAGGACAGTGGGAGGCAAATTGACCTTGAAGAGCTTCAAGAGTTAAATAATGAAAGAACCTGAGGATGAGACTCTTTTTGAACCACTTGATGAGTCCGTACCTCTGAGATGTTCCAGTAGAGTTAGTGTTCCACCTATGTTGTATGGTTTTCATATAACAAGTGACGGTGATACGTTTATTAGTGATAGCACATTGATAAATTTGGATGAACCTAACAACTACAAGGAAGCCATGGTGGGCCCCGAGTCTGCAAAATGGAAAGAGGCTATGGACAACAAGATTCAGTCCATGTATGATAATCAAGTTTGGAACTTGGTTGACAATGTATCGGGTCGTAAGACAGTCGGGTGCAAGTGGATCTCCAAGAAGAAGACCGACATGGATGGGAAAGTGCATATGTTCAAGGCATGATTGGTTGCGAAGGGCTTTACTCAAACCCCTAGGTTGACTATGATGAGACCTTCTCACCAGTGGCCAAGATCAAGTCCATTAGGGTTATGTTGGCCATCACTGCATTTCATGATTGTGAAATTTGGCAGATGGATGTCAAGACCGCTTTCCTTAACGGGAAGCTGGCTGAAGATGTTTACATTAGTCAGCCAGAAGGTTTTGTGGATTCCAAATACCCCAATAGAGTATGCAAGCTTGATAAATCCATTTATGGATTGAAACAAACATCTCGCAGATGGAATCTTTGTTTCGATGAGAAAGTCAAAGAGTTCGGATTTTCGAGAAGCGAGGATGAGTCCTGCCTATATGTCAATGTTGGGTTTTATGTACAATAACATTCCTATGGTGCACATGCAACCCTAATGCTTTGGATCTAAGTTTTCTCTAACTATACATGCAATATCGGTTTCCCAAGCATGAAGCCTAAACTAGTATACAAAATTTCATATATGAATCATAAAACTAGTTAGAAGATTACCTTTTGATGTAGCTAGTAGAACTTTGGCCTTAAGAGAACTTAGCACCCCAAGTGTTGTGCCTCAAACAAGTCACAAACACCAATAAACAACTAGATGGATATGAGAGAGGTTATGGAGACTCAAAATCAGATTCTTCTTCTTGGAATGCAAGTGGTAACCGATTTTAAGCTTAGAGTTACATATATATAGTGTAGAATTCGAAGAGTCATGAGTAACCCTAACTTACACTTAAGCTTATGATCAATGCATTTGATTTGGACTAATACTTCATGGACTAACCCATAAGCTTATCCCATCACAAATCAACCATGGATCATTAGCCCAATCCATATGTACCAATTTAATTAGTCTCTTTTGATCACTAAATTAATTCTAAATTAATTCTTGACCAATACTAATTAAATAATATGATTTCTCAATTAATATATTATACTTATAATATATTAATAAATCACAAACAACCTCTTTCTCAAATATCCATCTATCAAATTGTTCTGGTGAAGGCAACCCGAAATGGACCATGCTACTATCGGGTCAAGTACATACCAATTATAGTTATGGGCTTAGACACCTAATCCAACAGTCTCCCACTTGGATAAGTCTAATAACTAAAATTGCCAATGCAACTTAAAATTCGATTAGCAATCGTAGCTCTCAAAAAGTCGTTGTCATACTCTGATGTGTCCATTAGATAAGTGATCATATAATTATCCTCTATTCTTCAAGATATCATGTGGACAAAGACATGGAATAAAGTCATACTTGTCACAACTAGGAATTCTGATGCTTTGTAAAACCCTTAACATAGATAACATTGTAGTTAAAACTTGAAAACATGTATGGTGCTTATTCAATGACCACAAAATTCCATCAAATACTCTATACAAACATTCAAATAGTCAACAAAAGGTTGGAAACCCTAACAATCCCGGTTCAAGTCTATTTTGGACTAGGATTTTCTTATTGGGCCTAATAGGCCAATAAGCCTTCAATTTGACTATGTTGGGCTTAGAACCTTCAAATGGACCATAAATCAATTCTTTTATGCACATTGGGCCGTGAACCCCCTCTAAAAGCCCAATCGGCCGAAAACCTACTTAATGGACTCAAGGTTTCGAACAAAAACAAACAATGGCCCAAGAATAAACCACTTCCTTCCTCCTAAGCCCAAGAATTCGGCCCATGTAAAGGAAAAGAAGGAGGAATAAAAATAAAGGAGAATTGGAGGATTTTTGTGCACTTGCCACCTCTTTATTGCATGGTGGGTTTCCATGCAAGTCAACTCACTCCTTCTCTCCTCTCTTCTTCTTCTTCTCGGTCGATTCCTGTAACATCCGGAATTCCAGGTATTATATTTTATCATTTATTTTTGAGAAAAGAAAGGGACTCGACGTGTCGAGTCGTAGACTCGTCGAGTAGAACCGCGAATGCTGACTGGATTTAATGAATGGACTCGGCGAGTCGATGCGTGGACTCGGCGAGTCCGCGCTGTAAAATGAAACCCTAAATCTCAGGGCCTGAGCCCTATTTAAAGGCCTTTATGGCCTCCATTTGCGGCTACCTGTCCAGAGAGAGTACCCCTTGAGAGCTTGAGCGAGTTGAGAGAGAGATAAAGCCATATTGATCGATTTTGGTGTAACTTAGCAAAGGAGAAGTTGTTTCCAGCAAGAGGAGGTCAAGGGAGCTGTGGATCCAGAGTTTTCAAGTTCAGATCTACGCTGTTGAGGTATCTAATCGAACTCCTTTTCTGTTTTGGGTTAAGATCTATGATCTAGGGCTTCCTTTGCACCATTTTGAGTTAGATTGTGAAGCATAGGGGGTCCCTTTGAGTATAGATGATAGATCTGGACCTTGAGAGGTCCAAAAGGTCCCAAGCTTCCAGCTTTATGAGGTTTCATGTGAGCCTTGAGAGTAAAATCACATTTAAAAGGTTATTCCTCCATTTTTGGTCTTATAAGCATTGCATGAACGTAAAGTTTGAACCTTTACGTGACTTTCGAGTGTTAGAAGGATGGATCTACTGTTTGGTGAAGCAGATCTGACCTCAAGAGATCTTTTGAGAGTTTTCATGGGAGGAACTCGCCGAGCCCATAAGGGACTCGACGAGTCGAGTCGAGTTGCCCCGCAACTCGCGACCTGTGGCGACCCGTTGAGTATAGGGTTGACTCAGCGAGTCAAGTGAGGACAGGGGCGAGGAGGACAGGCATGTACTCGCCGAGTCACTCTAGTGCACTCGGCGAGTCCGGTCAATGTTGACCGTTGACTTTTGTTGACTTTTAGGGTTAGTCAGTGTTGGGACTTATGAGCCATTAGAGGGGCAGAATGGTCTTTTACCCTTCTTAGAGAACTTATAGAGAGGGGGTGGCCTAGCCTTTAGAAGTTGTATTAATTAGAGTAATTATTTATGTGATTAGGCGAAGGCTAGTGCAGTATTTCAGAGTTCGAGGTTTACCGAGTTACCCGAGGTGAGTCTTCTCACTATACATTACCTAGGGTGGTATTTATGTGTAGACCAGAGGGTCTTGTATGCTATGTGTATATATGAGATTATGTGCATTGTGTTATATGTATGCTATGTGTTGAACAGACCGGGCCGGAGGGCCCAACGATATAGACCGGGTCGGAGGACCCAACGATATAGACCGGACCGAAGGGTCCAACGACACAGACTGGACCGAAGGGTCCGACGAGCTATGACCGGACCAGAGGGTCCAACGAGCTACGGGACTGGAGGGTCCCGCTGAGACACATCGACCGGAGGGTCGTATTATAGCCTCGAGTGGCGTATGTGTTGTATGTGGTATTTTGGGGAACTCACTAAGCATTTATGCTTATAGTTGTTGTGTTATGTGTTTCAGGTACTAGCGAGGATCCCGGGAAGGCGCCGGCATGATCCGTACACACTGAGAGGATTTATGTATTCGAGGATCTTGGGATTTGTTTATTGTGAAACATGTGATACTTTGGGTTACTATGATATTTTATGAATGAAAGTATGTTTTTAAAATGAAAAATTATTTTGAAAATTTACGTTGTTACAATTCCCACCCTCTCCACCTCATTCTCTTTCAAAATATCTCAAGAATACTCTCTCAAGAAGTCATCCTCCATCCATCAAAAATTTCAAGAATCACAAAAGCTCCAAGAAGATTCTTCCCTAATATCACCAATCCTTTGTAAGTTGTTGTTTTGATTCATACCTTAGCTTTTGATTTCCTCAAAAATCTCCCCATAAATCATGCAAAATTCGTGATTTTGCTTCTTAGAACACATCTAAGCCAAAGACCTCTCAAGAAGCTTGCTAGGCCGAAAGACCTCATCATTTCTTCCATTTGTCTTCAAAACCGAACCCACAAACTCAAGGTGAGTTCATACCCCTCTATTTTCGGTTTTCATATGTTTTATGGGGGAGAATGCAAGTAAAATGTGAAGATCTATGTGTATTTGCATGATATGTGTGTTTTCTTGTGATTTTGTGATATATTTATGCTAAAAATGAAAGATATTTCGAGATCTATAGTTTAAGAAGGAAAAATATTTGATCTAGTTCATATTTCACTCAACATGTCAAGATAAACTAATATACAAGTTTTAAAATAACAAACTACAACATCAAACTCATTTTTGGGCTATTTTTGTCAAATAAGTAAACGATTAAAAAAAAGATGTCATTTACGGTTTTTACAAGGTTCAAAATGCCAAAACAGTTAAAATAGAAGTTTCTATGAACATTATGTTTTTCAAAGGACTAAAAATGAAATTTATGGCTTATTGGGCCAAAATTTGGCCTTTTTGGCCCATAGGCCCAAAGTTGCGAAAAAATGGATTTAAGGGGGCTGAAATGGTAAATTTCTCAAAACAGTGGGTAGGAAAGTAAATAAACTTATTTTAAGGGTTAAAATGGCCTTATTTGCCAAAAAGGATCTAAAATGCAAAGATTTTGGGTTTTGGGTAAAAAGTGTAAAAATTGTGAAAAAGGTGGACAAAAATGCAAATCTTTTAACTAAAGGGTTAAAACTTTCCAAAAATTTACTTTTGGGCTTAAAACATTATTTAAATAAGTGTTTGGGTCAAAGATGTCAATAAAAAAAATCCAAGGACCTAATATGTCATTCTTCTTATAAAAAGGACTAAAATTGCCAACTTTACCAAAATAAAGGGGCTGAATAGGTCAAATTAATGTTTTTGGTCAATCATATTAATAATAATAATAATTGGGTCAAAATATACAAAACTTTATAACTTATGGGTTTTGAATAGAAAAATAACTATTTTATAAATCTATAAACCGTTATAAAACAATTTCATGATTTATACGACATATCGATTAAGCAACTCGCAACATTAATTCTATATAAACCAAGTAAACGTTCAAATGGTTGGGCTTGAGAGATTTTAATCATGCTTAATGGGCCTTCGTGACTCATTAACATGGCTTTTGGGCCCAACTTAAATAATACATGTTATTGGGCCTCCTGTGACCCAATTACATGCTTAATGGACCCTCAATGGTTTTTACATGCTATTGGGCCTCAGTGGCCCATTAGCATTATTAGTAAGGTCCAAATAAATTATATGCGAAGTGGACCAACGCGCTTTTCGTATACTCGACAGCCTTAAATAACATACGAAATTAGTAGGGCCTAGTAGTCATCTTCTCCTCGTCTGTTCGGCTTACCTTCTTTTCGTATAAAATAAAATTCGATCATTAATCAAGGTTAACCAAACTCATGTGGATTGAGTGAGTAATAACGGGTGACACCAATAAGTGTCGGTCGTAGTCTGTAGTTGTAATCAAAGTCTCCTGGAGGGAGAGCGAGAGTTTGTGTATAGATCTATACGGGGGTGACTCCCCTACACCTAAGCTGTTCGCTACAGTTAGACTCGGCCAGTCTAGGGTGACAAAGTCTTAAGATCAAATTTCGGTGTTCATTAGAATACTAAGACAGACGAACTAGTCATTATCATGCATGGTTATAACGACTCACGTAGAAATCCGACATCATTAATCAGGGGAAATCATTAATCAAAGGAAATCATTAATCAAGGGAAATCATTAATCAAAGGAAGATCATTAATCAATGGAAATCATATTCATTCGATGTAACGAGTCAATGAAGCAAAACAATCATAACTTTTATTCGGAAGACATCGGGTTTTCCGGGGAAATAAATCTTACTCACTTGTACTTTCAAACATTATAATGCAAAAACTTCTTATTTATTCATGTTTTGAAATCATTCACGCATATACTTACAGGATCATCACAATATTTTCAAGAAAAGTTTTATTACAGAAAATATCGGATTTTCTGGGTTTTACCAATGACATAAACTACTTTACATCAAACACACTTATGAACTCACCAACATTATATATGTTGACCGTTTTCAAAATAACTTGTATTCTCAGGTAATCATTAGACAAGGAAGCATCCGGTGTGTTGAAAGTTTTCTTTTGTAGTAGCTAATCACCAAACACTTTATATTTCGAAATCATGTAATGTAAACCTTGTACTTGATGTAAACAATGCCAGTTGTACTATGTAATGGTTGGTGATGCATGTGTTATGTTTCATATATATTCATTGTGATGATATTTCAATTTAAGTCACACGATCCCTCGGACGTTTCCGCCGTCTGGTTCGGGGGTGTGACAATACTCATTGTCCAACAGTTTGTTTCCTGATTTTTGATTTGTTTGACATAGAACTTAATTGAACACATCAATTAAGTCTTGACCGGGCCCGATACATAAGTCAAAACAAAATCATCGACGGGCCCAAGATATCGCTTTTGATCCTCTTAGGATAAAAGGAACAGATAAACTTCGACTTATATGCTTGTACTAACTATTCGTTAAATCATACACAACAACACATTTTATAACATCAAGTTACTGATGCGTTTTCGCACTGTGAATAACCAATTCATAATCAACAACTCATGTATCTTGGTTTGAAGACTACACGATATTATCATCTCACAATCACTCGTGATAAATTCCATGAAGTGATTCACGTGAGTGTGGGTTTAGTCCAATACTCAAATCTTATTTCAAGAGCACTCATGAATGTTTGTAGCAAACTTTGCTATGTCTAACACCTTAGACAATCTTACAAAAACCCATTCATGACAGTCTACTTTCATAGCCTACTTCCAAAGTATGATCGACTGTGGATGGTTTGAATAATCTTATTATTCAGGAAGTCAAAACATGCAAAATGAAACAATAGTACATAATTGACACAAGATAGTAACTTTACTTATAAATAAAACTTCTTTTATTCAATCATCAAATGTCAATTACATTTTAGCTATTACAAGTTTCTAAATGTCTATCTAATCACTAAAAACTAATATCGTCCTTCAACCCGATACTTCTAGCGTGCTGCAAGTGCTTAACCCTACTCAATCCCTTCGTAAGGGGATCTGTTGGGTTCTCCTCTGACGATACCCCCTTCATTACGTGGAGTCCTTCTTCTACTCGATGTCTTATAAAGTGATATTTTATGTCGATGTACCTGGATCTGTCATGATCCCTTGGTTCCTTGACTAAGGCGACCGCGCCTTCGTTGTCACTTAAAATCTCCATAGGCTCCTTTATAGCTGGTACAACTCCAAGGTCTCCGATGAAGTTCTTAGCCATATCGCCTCCTTCGACGCTTCACTTCCTGCTATATACTCTGATTCGCACGTTGAATCAGCTACAGTCTCCTGTTTGGAACTTTTCCAAGTTACTGCTCCTCCATTTAAGGTGAATATCCAGCCTGACTGAGAGCGGACATTATCTTTGTCGGTCTGGAAGCTGGCATCACTATACCCTGTCACTCTCAAGTCATCACCCCCACCGAGGGTGAGGACCCAGTCCTTAGTCCTCCGCAGGTACTTAAGAATGTTCTTTACTGCAGTCCAGTGAACTTTACTAGGATTCCCTTGATATCTACTAACCATGCTCAAAGCAAAGGCTACATCAGGGTGAGTACACGTCATATCATACATGATCGAGCCAACAGCAGAAGCATATGATATTCGACTCATTTATGCTATCTCAGCATTGGTACTCGGACTCTGAGTCTTACTCAGTTTGATATTGCTATGGATAGGTAATTCTACTTTCTTGGATTCCTCCATGTTGAAACGCTTCAACACTTTGTCCAAGTAGGTACTTTGAATAAGTCCAATTAGTCTTTTACTCCTGTTTCTCAATATCCTTATCCCTAGAATATAAGCAGCTTCCCCAAGGTCCTTCATAGCAAAACACTTCCCAAGACAGGACTTAACCTCCTGCAAGGTTTGGATGTCGTTGTTGGATTAGTGTCTAAGTCCATAACTATAATTGGTATGTACTTGACCCGATTGGCATGGTCCATTTGGGTTGCATGGCTTCGGAACAATTTGGATAGACTTTTGTGAGAAAAGGATAATTATGATTTGTTAATATATTATAAGTTCTAATATATTAATATGAAATCATATTATTTAATTAGTATTGATCAAGAATTAATTTGGAATTAATTATGTGATCAAAAGGAGACTAATTAAATATATGGGGATTGATTGTGTAAATCATTCATTCTTATATATGTGGGCTTATGATTCATAGTTTTTCATGTTGGGCTAAACCCATGGAGTAACCCATGGATACTACATGGAGGTTTTAACCCATGGAGCATGAAGAATATGGAAAGACATGAGTTACATGGTGTAACCCTAATAGCCACCATATATAAGGACCCCATGGCTCAAGAAATTGGCACTAGTGTGTGTACACATGAGGGCTAGCCAATTTGAGCATAGGAACCTTTTCTCTCAAGTTATTCCAAGATGTTGGTGATGTTGTGTGAACCATCTGAGGTGTCACACTTGAGGCACTAGGCTCTTAAGCTCCATGGAATCAAGCTACAACAAATAGGTATGTAATTCTACTAGAATTTATATTATATGTTCTTCATATTATGATAGTTAGAACAATACCTTGGAAAAATTGATATTTGCATGTATAATAGAGAAAACATAGATCCAAGGTATTTAGGGTTGCATG